CCCGCGGCACGGCTGCGGGACGGGACCCGCTCCTCTCCGCCCACTACCGCGCCGCGGCGACGGCCACGACAGCACCAACTCCACCGCCGCTAGCGGTCCGCGCGGGCCACCGGGCCGTGCAGGCGCCTCCTCCCGGAGCGCCGCAGACAAAGCCTGAACAGCAGCAGCACATGGAGAGAGGAAGTGGCGGCGCGGGCCGCGGCCTACTCCCAGTCAGCCCCAGTCAACGTGCTTCTCTCCCCTTTGGAATCCATTTTCCAGAAAAGCCGGTTTCTCCCCGCGCCGCCCTCCCCCAGCTCACTCCACAATGTCATGGAGCTCCCCTCCCAGACCCGGGTCCTGGCGGTCGTTACCTCCCCGTTGGGCTGCAGCGGAGGAATCCTGTCCGAGGGGATCGGGTTGCGGGAAACGCGTGCTCGCTGATCCCTGTGTCCGGCGCGAGTGGAGCTGTTGTAAAATGGCGGCCGAAGCTCACGCCGCTGGCAGCAAACCCGATCCAGTTCCACTCGCCTCCGAGCGCGCTCCCGGTGCGCGCGCGCGCCCCCGCGTGACCCCCCCTTCCCTTCCCTCCCTCGCGCGTCCGCTTCTCACTCACTCGCTCAGCCCCTGCCCTCCTCCAGCTCCTCCTTCTCCCCCTACCACCACCACAAGCAGTCCCCGTCTGCCTTCTCTCGGCCTTGCTCCTTCCGCTCCCTGCTCCTTCCCCCCCACCGCTCCCACTCCCGTCCACGGTCTCTCGGGCACGAGTGGCCGCCTTTCGTCTCTTCGCTCGCACGCTCGCTCACTCCCTCCCTGCTAGCTCTCTCGGCCCCGTCCCCTAGTCCCTGCCGAGTCTGGTCCTCTCTTTCTCTCTCCCGCGCTGACGTGACGACGTAGCCTACGCCTCGGGACGCGCGCCCGCGGGCTCCGCCCCCACGCCCCGCCGCCTCCCTCGCTTCTCACCCCCGAGAGGGCACGAGACCCCGCCCTTCCGCTCCGGCGGCGGCGGAGGGGCCGGGAGTGAATGAAAGGCCCGCCCCTTTGCCTCGCGACACTCCCCTCCTACTCCCCTGCAGGCGGGGCGGGCCGGCTCA